TAATCAATTTCATTGCATATATGTACAGTGACAATAAAAGTTATTATTAAGCGCCTAGAAGAAAAACAAAGAAAGTGGAAGCTATAGGAATGGAGACTTCGTGCTAAGTGTTTCAAATTATCTCTTCTGTAGAGGTTTCACTGTGGAAACTCAATATTATATATAGCTGTTTAGTACAATGTAAGCTAGCTCAATGAAGATTTTCAAATGATTCTTTACTAATGTTGTCATTCTGGAAGAAGAAAAGAAATGTTAATCCTAACAGAGCATGAGTTATTTCTCGTCTGAATTGGTTTGGCCTAGGCATGATTAGAACTTGGGTAGGAGATCTCACAAAAGTTAAGCCTCCTTATCCATGACTGAGTATGTATGGAACCTGCTTCTAACAAAGGCACTTAACAGCCACATCAGTAGGCCAGAAGGGAAGCCAAGTGAACAGTTTAAATTTTAAGAATTAATGATAAGATTATTATTTTTTAAGGACAGATTTCTACATGTCTTTTTTTTTTGGTTCTCTGGTTCCATACTTCTCTGTGGCCAAGGAATATATAACCAAAGCTTATTGTAAATATTTTTTTAAAAATCAACCTTTTGGGGATATAATTTAACAATATATTAACATCTTTAAAACTTCAGTTTCTTCCAAGAATTTGGTCCACCGTAGCTTTAAGGTTTTATTAGATCTAAATATGGATCATAATCAGATTAAAAAATTTGGTTGAGGAGTCCAATAATAGGCCATAAGAACATTCAATATTCATTAAAAGCATTAATTTGTTAATATAGCCAACTCTACATTTATTTTTGTAAAGTGTGACAGTGTGGGATTCCTAGCTTACCCTCTTTAAAAATATATATATTTAAACTAGATGGAGGTTTATTAGCTGCTTAAGCATCCAGATCATAATGGTTGTATGTATGCAGGTCGTTATTTATTTATTCTCGTAGCTATATAATCATCCATCTCACAAATGTGGAGTTGGGTGACAGTTAAAACAATTAAACAGCTAAAAACAACATGATTACGAATAAAAATAAAACTTCAGGAGAAAAACCAGTGGCCCTACATACAAAACAACCATCTCACAGCCCCCCATTTCTATATTTGGTATCATAGTATAGCACACCATTGACCAGGTAGTATATATTTGGTACTATATATCAACTATCAGCTTTTAGATGTGTGTATATCTTCAAGTTAGTCTTCATTCCTAGTGGATGCCTAGACAAGTTCATGCCATTTTTCTTGGCAAGAGTTTTGGAAAAGGTTTGTCATAGCCAAACTTTAATTAGAACTAAAAAAAAGTATCCTATCTGGCTTCATGCCAAAGGCAGGACTAGAATCACAATTTCCTGGTTTCTTCTGGTTTGTAGTCTAATGACTTCACCATACCAAACTGGATTTAGGTAAATCATATTTCTTTTGGAAAATTTTGAGGCATTTAAGTATAACTGTCCCCACTTACTCTGCACCACCACCACAAATAATTTTCCTGCCATTTTAAACAGGCTTGTTCTAGATCATAGTCTCACATTTAATTTCTGGCCCAATACTGTCCAAATACTGTATGTCTAATTACCTTAAAGGTTGGCAGTAGTACTAAATTCCCTCTCTAATTGGAACCAAGAATTTAAAAGGATGAAGTATACTAACTATCCAGTAAGGCACAAAAGAGTAACTTTGATTTTCATTGAGATAACAGACAATCAGAGTTGGAAGGGACCTTGTAGGTCATCTAGTCCAACCCCCCATCTAGGTGGGAGACCCTACATCATTTCTGAAAAATGGCAGTCCAATCTCTTCTTGAAAGTCTCAAGTGATGATGCTCCCACAACTTCTGAGGGCAAGCTGTTCCATTGGTTGATTTTTCTCACTGTCAGAAAGTTTCTCCTTATTTCCAGGTTAAATCTCCCCTTGTTCAGTTTCCATCCATTGTTCATTGTCTAGCCTATAGGTGCTTTAGAAAATAGCTTGGCCCCTTCCTCCCTGTAGCAGCCCCATATTGGAAGACTGCTGTCATGTCTCCCTTGGTTCTTCACTAGACTAGCCATGCCTAGTGCCTGTAACTGTTCTTCGTATGTTTTAGTCTCCAGTCCCCTAATTATCCTGGTTACGCTTCTCTGTACTTTTTCCAGAGTCTCAACATCTTTTTTATAATGTGATGAACAAAACTGGATGCAGTAGGTGTGGTCTTACTAAGGCTTTACAGAGTGGTATTAGTACCTCACTTGATCTTGATTGTATCCCTCTGTTAATGCAATTTAGGATTGCATTAGCTTTTAGAGCTGCTGCTGCACACTGCTGGCTCATATTTAGCTGGTTGTCCACTAAGACTCCAAGATCCCTCTCACAGTTACTGCTATTAAGCCTGTTTTCACCCATCTATATGTGTACTTTGGGTTTTTCTTGCCTAAGTGTATGACTTTACTTTTGTGTCTACATTGAATTTAATTTTGTTAGAAGATTCTGATAGTGTTATTGTTGTTAACATTGTCAGGCCATTACTTGGTACAGATCTGAATAAGTATATCATATAATCAAGATTAAAATCTGGAAAATTGAAATTACCACCAAAAATATCAAGCTGTAGCTTTAAAGGAGATCTCTTTAGTGTTTGCCCATTCCACATAAAATTAATTATTAACCCATCTGATTGATTTAGGTCAGTCTTTACCATTTTAGTCTGATTTACCATAAAATTGACTGTCACAATATGTTCTCCTTTGTCTCTGCATTGCATGGATAAAGGTGTTTACAATCACTAGTCCTGAGTTTAGAATTGATTGAAAATGTTAAATATTAAATTATTGGTTAACTTAGGAAAAGGGTGGGGAGTAATAGCTATAAAGATCTCTCCTGATCACACAAATCATTTGGAACTAGTTTGCATTCCATATACCAGAATCATCTAGAGTTGGCAGGATAAATATTGTTTCTTCGGGAGAAAAAATATCAAACAAGTGTCAGACATAGACTGAGGACTACATGCAATTATTATTTATTGTGAAATAACTGGTTACATCTGGATTCTTAAAAAATAACATTATAGGAGTATTATTTCCATTGTAGAATAGAACATGGGGAAATGAGGCTTGGAGAATCATTATCCCCCCAAAATGTTTTCTGTATTTATAAACTAATGCACACTCAAAAGCCATTCATATCTATATTTATTTAAAATTTATACTAAACTTATTAAGGGATAAAAATCCAAGTCAAGACTCCGATCTTACTTTTCACCATTGGCTGTGCTTTTATGAGATGTCCTTGCTGAAGGATTTGTCAGCATTGCAAAAACCATAGGCAAATATTTTGCACATTCAGTTGCTATATATAAAAATTTAGCTCTGGTCTTGAGGGCGAGGAGGAGGAAAATAGACAACGGCTGCTTAGCCCTAAGAAAGTAGAAAGTGTGACAAAGAGTCTCTTGGGAGTAGCCCTCCCTTAACAGACTTGTCCTTAAAAAGGGGGCAATGAAAGTTTTGGACAAGCTTCCCAGATTTAGTTAATGTACAGCCCAACAGTGAAGGAGAATTTCCGGGATCCCTGCCATGTCTGTTCCTTGACTTTGCTTTCTTTAAAAGGCTGGCATTTGGATAGACTCAGAGTATACTACCACAGGTAACCACACCAGGAGTTAAGAGATCAAATGCACGTGAGCCAAGTCAGCATAGGAGCAGTCAGTCTGTTAAAAGGACGATGGGAACAATTTGGTCTGAGTGTAAAGTGCATGAAGTCTGAGCAACCACTGGCTCCCCCAAGGGAAGAGGTGAGAGAGTTTCATTTACGTGCAGAAAGCAAAAGCTCAAAAAAAAAAAAAAAGCAGGCAGCAGTTTAGTCTAGTGTTTAAGGTACTAGGCTAGAAACCAGATAACTGATTTTAGTTACCTGTTTTCTAGCCTGGTACCTTGAATATTAGACCGAAATGCTGCCTGCTTTTGATTTTGGGCTCCTCACTCACCCTTGCCTCAACTCACCTTGTTGTGGAGAAAATAGGAGGAAGGAGGAATATTAGGAATGTTCACTGCCTTGAATTTCTAATAAAGTAATAAAGGGATAAAATCTAATTAATAAATAAAATAGTAAATTAAAGATTAATACCAAGATAAAATCATTAAATAGTTTATTTGCATATGCAGTTTACAGTTCACTGGAATGCAGTTTTCTTTTGTAAAGGGAAGTCATAAATATTGCCTTATGAATAAGCATTTCTGAATCATAATCTTAAATTTCTGTTAACTTTTTTTTTTTACTCCATCATGTGGGTAAAGTCCTCGAAGTGAAATTCTTTATTGTTTTCTATAAAGTTAACTTCACGGATTTAAACTAATGAAGTGTTTGGTGGTCTCCTGAAAAAAAGAGATTGTCTAGATTTAATGTAATAAATGTGACTATGTAGACACATTTAGTAAGGCTTATTCTAGGGAAGCTCATAGCCCAGATGGCAACCTTGTTCTGTCCAGTTGTTTAGGGCAGCATGTCCTATAATCCCCATGCAGTGGCTGGGGCTGATCAGATTTGTAGTCTGCAACATCTGGGTGCATCCAAGTTGTTGATTGATGTAGCAGTAGATAAAGAAGTAAAAAAGTGGTGTAAGAAGAAGTCAGAATGGCAGATATGATTGTGCAAATGAGCCTCACCCCCTTTTCACTTTTTTACATGCTTTACGTCTATGGTGGTATACTTTTAAAAGAAGGGAAACTCCTTTTGTGCATGCCTCCTTGATTTTTTTTTTTCAGGCCTGCCTCCTTGATTTTTTTTTTCTTCTCCATGGCAGTAAACTAAATTACCCCTCTGAAAGTTATGAAAGATGAGTTATCTTCCAAGAAAGTTATCTGAAAGATGGAGATTAACCATGCATAAATCTTGCATTTCGATCCTAACCTGACATGGCTTCCATTTTTGTTTGCATTTACAATAGCAAAGTGCTCTTGGGGAAAATGTGTTATTTTCTGATGCCTTTAACTCATTCCTAACTTGCATTCTCAATGTTTTTCAGTGGGACATTTATAGCAATTGGCATTTCAATTTTCGTCGTGTTTGTAGTAGGCATCATTCTCTGCTTCACCTGCTCATGTTGCTGCCTGTATAAAGCCTGCCGAAGGAGACCACAGCGTAAGTATCCTCCCTGGCTGAATTGTTGCTCTGTCTGAGGAAAATTATGAGTGATGTTGCTGAGTGCAGTGGGGAGGAATAGCAGACACAGCAGAACGTCTCTCCGAAACACTTCTTTTAAAATAGGTGAAAAGTCACTTGTTTAAAATGTAACTAGCCTTAGATCAAGGAATGAACAAGGTATGAACATTTACCTCAGTCATCAGAGATGCTGTTTCCTTTGGCTCTGCATGTGTGACAGACTTAAGGGAGTTCAGCCTTATTGTGTCAGGTGTCTTTACTTAATCTAGGACTATAATTCTCAGAAATCTCCAGGAGCTGAGAGATTCCAGTGAGCATACCTGAAGGGAATTCTGGGCCTTGTAGTCTTGACATGCCTGAATAAAGATGGAAAGGTCGGCTTACAGCTTCTAAGTATCTGGTTGATATTAGCAGACATGGGACGTAAGATACCAGAAGATCAGACATCTTTTCTTGGTGTGCCTTTTCAGTAGAAGTAACCTTTCTGGTGGGAGGAATGATAAGTTTCTTTTTCTACCTCATGTCCATGGAGGAAGCGTCAAAACTTATTTGAAAAAACAAGTTATAAAACCAGCACGACAGGGAAAGAGGGGAAATGTTGACTTTCCTTCCTGTCCTGCATCAGCCTCACCAGGTAAACCAGACAGGAAAACATAACCAGAGAAACTAATTCTACTTTATTGTAAAGAAACATCAACAGAATCTGAAAGTGTGAAAGTACAATTCTGCTGTCGTCTTGACAGCTTGAAAAAGTTTGGACAGCCCCTTCTGAGCTTCTTGCTCTGCCCACTATCCAGCTGCAGGTTGTGCTGCCTCGTATCTGATCATTCCATACGTATTATCGCTTTACCCCCCCTCCAAAGATTTTTCCCACATACCCATTACATGGTGATTGATTGATCAATTGATTATGTGCCATCAAGTCATTTTCTACTGCTAGTAACCACATAGATGCCCTGATTCCTAACGACCACATTCCTCTGCTTATTCCTCCCTAAATACCCCTCTTGTGTTTTACAGCTGTTGTGACCACATCCACAAGTGTGATACAGGTGCCTTACCCTCAGCAGCCTGGGGTACCAGTTGCTTATGCTGGAGGACCATACCAAGGATACAATCCACTACCGGTACAGCCCCAGCCTGGAATGCCACCAGCATCCTACCCAACCCAGTACCCTCCGCCCTATCCTACACAACCTATGAGGCCACCGCCATACCAGGAAACCGTGGCAGGTAAGGAAAGAAGAGGGGAAAGATGCTGGAAAGAAAAAGGAAACAAATGTGTGGTAATGGCAAGTTTTTCTCTTGCTTTCTTTTCAAAATATGTCCAGCCTCAAAATATAAATTCATGTTTGCTGTCTTGGGTAACTCAGCTTCTTTACTACAAATAAACCATCACTTCTGTGTAAGTTCTTCTGAAGCTATCTGGTTGAAATCCCCCCTTTTTTACTGATGGTTTTATTCCACTGTGGTCACCTTTCCTAAAGAACAGAGCTGAGCAGTGAGCCACACTGTGCTAGAAATTTTCTTTTAAACATCTGCTTCAATACTGGCCCAGATGCTTCCAGGTTGGATGAATTCAACACAGGATGCAGAATTCAGCAGACACTGAAGCCTCTCTGCCTGGAAGAGACAGGGGCTTTAGGGCAGATTACTTTGACTCATGCTACATTATTGGTTCAGTGCACTCCATAGTCTTCCTACAGTGTTTGCAGAGACATCCCAATCTAGAAGGACTTTGACCAGCACTGTAGAGGATGGCTTCTCTTAGTCTTTTCCCATAGACAAACTTTGCTTCATAAAAGATCTTCAAAATTCTTTGTACTTCATCAAAGTGAAGCGCTCTTTCAGGGATTTGAAAAGGCTAGCAATGTCATTGTTACAGAGAAGAAAGAAGCAACAATTTAACTTTTCAGATACAGCTTGTCTTTAATTTACGACCACAACTGGGACCATAATTTCCATTACTAAGCAAGGTGATTAAGTGAGTCAAATCCAAATTTATGACCTTTTTGCCACAGTTGTTAAAGTGAATCACTACAGTTGTTAAGTGAATATTTCACACACACACACACACACACACACACACACACACACACACACCAATTGATTTTCTTGTTGAAAGCTGTCTGGGAAGGTCACAAATGGTGATTGTATGACCTCAGGAGGCTGCAACCATCATGCATACATGCCAGTTGCCAAATGTCTGAATTTTGATCATGTGAACATGGGTACTCTGTGATAGTCGTAAATTCTAGGGCTGGTTGTAAGTCACTTTTTTCAGTGAAAAAATAGTTCAAATAGTTGCTAAACAAATGTACTTTGAGGACTACCTCTCTAAGAAGGAGTGTTGTTCTATAGCAGCAGGTAATCAACTCAATTAGCAATAGAGAAGGAGATCTAGATGGAGATTAAGGAGACAGTTTTGGCCCAACAAGGAAGGCTTCCTTTCCTAGGATAGTTCCCCGTGGACATTAATTCACTTTAATATGCTTCATTCTGCAATTGATTTCATAACTACTTTATATGGACACTAGCACGTGATGAAAATCTAAGAATTATGCAGAAATAAACATGATAAAGTAAGCTGCTAACCTGCTTGTTCTTGTCTGTTTCTTTTACAGTTGGTGCCTCAGCTCCTCCAGCTCAACCCCCTTATAATCCAGCATATATGGATCCTCCAAAGGCTTCCTATTAAATGGACTTTTACTGTGTGTGTCTCTGGAAGCCTCTTCAGATTGCCTTTTTCACGTGGAGTTCTTTCGGAAGATATTATTCTGATATATCTGTTTGGAGGGGTGGGTCACAGTTTATTTACAGCACTTTGAGAAGTGCAAGAAATTCAAGCGATTCAAAGATGACCTTTTTGTAAAGAAAAAGTAGGGGTGAATCTAAGAAAGAACTTAAAAAGTAAGCATCAGGAATACAATTGAACTAAATAGGGACAATCGTTTGAGGGATTATTTGGCCATAATTTCATCAAAATCAATTTAAAATGGGCTAATCTTTTTCCAGCTTAGTACAGAAAAGTAACATCTGTTTTGAAACAAAATGTTTTCGAAGTAATGGGGAAATAGCTCTTTAGCAGGAAATGGGCCAACTTGTTCAGTAATCCCCTTGTTTTTGTCCATTATGCAGCAGTTGCATAGTCTTTCAGTATCACAGTGCAAATATTTGAATTTCATTGGAATTTTGTCACTATACAAAAAAAAATCTTTTGTATTCTCTGTTGCATGGAGATTGTTGAATGGGATCATTTATCAGCTTTCTGTGTTCTGCACCAAAATATTACAGCATGTCACACTCTTAAAAAAGAACTCAGACCAGAACTCGGACGAAACAAAGATAAATAATGTGGTGACCTCCTCTATTTTTATCTGTAGTTCCCAGACTCTCTTGCCCTTAGCATCCAGAGGCTGCTGGGAATTTAAATCCAGCTGGAGAGACATTAAATTACATAGCCCTGCTCTAGGCTATTTAAATGGGGCATTTCATTCCTCCCCACATTAACCATTTTTCTTATCTAACTGACAATCAGTTTCTTATAGACCCATATAGTTTTGATCAAGGTGGTATTTTGATTAAGAGTCACACCAGCCTTAGTATACTATTAGAAAGAGAAAATATCACAGTAATGTTTCATTTTAAATGGGTGCTTCGCTGCCATTTCTGAATCAATCCATTTCTCAATTAAAAGTAATTTTTCAACTACTTAAGGACAGAGAGAGAGAGAGAGAGAGAGATATGAATTTCTGTCTTGAAATAAACATCTGTAATACGTTTGGCATCCTAGAAACTTGAATGAAAGTGGAAAACATTTCAAAACTCTTTATAGAGTGGTATGGAAGTAATTTGGTAAGGAAGAAAGCCTAAATCCTGGGCTAACACCCCAGGAAAAAAAAGATGGCTCCCAATCTTTGCATAGCAAAAGCAATCCAAAAGAAAACAACTTTGCTCCACATAAAGTGACATAAAACCCAAAATAAATCAGCGCAATTCATAAAACCAGCCAACACTATGAGATTAGATAAATTCAGAGAACTGTAGTCCCTGTTCAGAAATACCCAGCCAAGAGATACATGTTTTTGGGAGCTTTTTTCCTATTGCTAATAGTTTTCCATGCCTACAGAATTGTAATCTTGGTGTTTGATTAATATTTCTGTCACCTTTGTGTTTTCTAACTCTCCCAATTTCAGTTCCATTATCTATTTAAGATACTTGCAGAATACAATCTTAACATGATAACGTGCACTCATCTGAGAGAAGTGGACTGCATTATGTGAAAAATGAAAGGATATCAGAAAATTAAAAATTATATATGTGGATAATGGAATACTTCTTTGTGCCTAGGAAGAGAAAATGATTGATTTTTGCAGTTTGTCTTAAACTCTGCTATTGTACTCTTTGTAAATACAAGACAGTCCTCAATTTACAACCATAATGAAGCCTGCCATTTATGGTCATAAGTCATGATGGTTATAAAGCAGGGCGTCATGTGATTTTATGACATGACCAGTTGTAAGACAAGGATTACCTGTAAAGCTGAAAGAGTTTGCCCCCTTATTCCTACCCATTAGAAATATAGGACCTTGTTTCAGCAAGCTTTGAATTTTATGACAGCATGTCTCAGTCTATGTTTTTACTTCCATATATGTCTTACAAAGAATACATCTCTCTATCACTATGCTGTAATTATGGAATCCTAGTATTATTTTGTTGAAGGCTGTTTTGCCTGCTTGTCTTAAACGCTGCCTCTGTTTCCTTATTCAGGCTATATATGCTGAGAGTAGTTTCTAATCCTTGTAATGTGTGAAATCACAGTTAAAGTTTGCAAGATTTCAGTAATTGACAACTGATGACTGAATTTCTCCAAAAGTATTTGCTTATGAAAAATTTATAATAAAAGGTATTTCTTTAATGGCACTTCTACTGCTAGAAGTGGGTCCTGTTACAATTCACAGTACTTGCATGAAGTCTGAAGGATTGTAACAAGTGGCACGTGTAGTGTCTCAATTAAAATGCTGCATTCTTTGTCGAATATTTTTTTTTTGTTTATCCTTTTTATTGTGAACTTTTAAAGTGCCTTTTCAAATTTTTGTAACTCTGTCACCATAACTATTGTACAATGTTAACGTACTGTGATATTTTTGTTCAGAATCTTGACTTTGTTTTTAATAAAAAAAATCTTTACACGTTGTTGCTTCTGGTAAATAAAATACAATTAGAAAAAAAGCTAGCATATTTGTGGCTATTTGTAATAAATCAGACCACTTAAAATACACATTGCTTTAAATGACTTTAATTTGGCTTAGATTAAAAGTGTTTGCATCCTTGAATTGAACATCACTGGTCCTAGCTCAAAATTGCATGGAGCTGTTTTTACGTTCACTTAGTCTTACATTCATTTTAATTAAACATCCCACACATTTCAATGGGACTAAGATGTTTTGTTTCTGGTGTTGGCACTTTTTTCATGTGACCTCTAATTGCTAGCAGTCTTACAATAGGAAGATCCAATTCCACTGTTGGAGGAGCAGGGGGAAGGTTTGCAACAAAGCCCAACTTCCAGCTCCTTCCGTGCCTCTAAAATAGTTCTTTATTGAATATTCTATTGTGTTTCAGTATGTCGGAGGGTGACTCGGGATAGGAGCTGATACAGATATACAGAGAGAATAAGTAGTTAAACAAATGAGGCATTAATAAAGGAGAATGTGTGTAGCTCAAGGTTGATATGAAGGGTCCATGGTGCCCCCTGAGCTTATTTTCTTGCAGACATTTCATTACCCAAACTAGAATTAGCCAGCTCAGAGAGCACCAAGGATCCTTCAAATGAGGAATTTTATTCTGGCACTGATTTCTGTACTAATGAAGTAGTATGAAGTTCTAATATATAAAAGTAGAATATTGCTTCCAGAATAGGAGAAAAAAATATAAGGAATTAAGCTTTAATCTACTTAACTTCCCTCCCTTTAGTCTCTTTTCTTTACTTTCTGTTTGTAATTTCCTTACCCGTGGCCTCTCCTGATTCTTATCTTGGGTATTGACACTGAGTTGTCTGCATTTTCTCCTGGCTGTTCACCTTCCAAAAGTCTTTAATTCAGTATCCCACCATCTTGCATCTGAAGCTCCAGACATAAAGCAGCCATAATTTCTTGAGTTATGTTTTGTTAAATGAGGGGTTTCAGAAAATGAGAAAGATTTTGGAAAACTGCTCTTAATTGCTCTAGTAGATTCATTGAAGCTCTATCATTTAAAATGAACTCATGCTAAATTCTTTGCCTTCTTACATGCATGAATCTACCTTCCAACTAAAATGGCAAACAGAATAATGTAGACAATAACTGCATTTTTCACGGCATTTTTTCTGAAATAGATCACTGTAGCTCAGATGCAAAGGAATTTGACAAGAGAAGCTCTCAGTCTCCATTGATGCTTGAGAGCTCTTCTAATTGTAGGCTCATCAGTTCTAGCAGAAGCCAAAATGTTGTTGCAAGAAATACAGTTCTCCCAACAGAGGTATTCTGTCTACAGGTGTAGATTACAACATTATGCAGAGTGCTAATAAAAATTTCTTACAACAAAAGGCATGCCAAGCCGTTCATTTTTGAAAAAGCACATAGGTTAAGCTGTGAGCATGCCAGACATGCTTCAAAAAATAAACCAATCCAGGAAACTGAAATACATAATTAAATTCTCAAATTCTGTTCAATGTAAGCTATGAAGGTTTTGTTCAGTTTTGTACTCCCTGAGGGATTTACAGCTCACGATTCTTACACCCTTTTAACAGATTTAACAGATAATCAGAATTGGAAAGGACCTTATAGGTCCTTTCCAATTCTAGCCCAAGCGGGAGACCCTACACCATTTCTGACAAATGGCAGTCCAATCTCTTGAAAGTCTCAACTGATGGCGCTCCCACAACTTCTGAGGGCAAGTGATTCCATTGGTTGATAGTTCTCACTATCAGAAAGTTTCTCCTTATTTCCAAGTTAAATCTCTCCTTGTTCAGTTTCCATCCATTGTTCCTTGTCTAGCCTTTGGGTGCTTTAGATTGACTCCTTCCTCTCTGTGGCAGCCCCTCAAATATTGGAAGACCGCTATCATGTCTCCCCTGGTCCTTCTCTTCACTAGACTCGCCATGCCCAGTTCCTATAACCGTTCTTCATATGTTTTAGTCTCCAGTCCCCTAATCATCCTGGTTGCTCTTCTCTGCACTTTTTCTAGAGTCTCAACACCTTTTTTATAATGTGACCAAAACTAGATGCAGTACTCTAGGTGTGGGCTTACTAAGGCTTTATACACTGTTTCTTTTAATCCTTCAGGTCAATTTGTGCTGGAGGAATTTCATTTCCAGACAGAAATTCAAGAGCAGCAATTTCCCCAGTCAGTTGACAGATATGCCCCTGATAAATTTAGCCTTATATGTACTTCCCCCAAATTCCACCTACCGTGTAATTGTGCAGGCAGAAACCTAGCAATTTCATGATCTGTCTATAATCGCTTGCCATAGATATATCTGATTAATTTCTGAACAGCGCTTGCTGATAGAATACATATTATTCTCCAATGGAACTTCTAACAGTGTAGCTCTCAGCAAAAGAGATATATGTGTCATCAGTTTTCTTGCACGAGTGGATTAAAATACATAATGGAATGAATTAGTCTCTGAAAGTCCAAGGAAAGGAACAAAATTAGCAGAAGAAATTGCAGATGTGCCCCTGCGTCATGTGAAATATTACTAGTCCCCTATTTGTGGAGAGAGGCTTCCAGTTTCAACTGTATCCCCTGCTTTCTACTTTTCTACTTAAAGGCATTGCTGGCGAATGGGGAAGTGGGGTTTCTATTTGTAACAATAACTCCAGATAGGCTCACTTTGATTAAACATTCCAAAATTGCAGGGTCAGAAACTTACTTGATCTCTGTCAAGAGATAAATCTCAGAGAACACCAAGGGCTCCATAAATTTCTTCAGTTGCCAATATTTTACTACAAAAATATGAACTCCCACAATAATGTTTAGAATGTGTTTATTCCACTAGCTAAAATGATCGTACAGGCAATTATTCCTGTTTTCATCATTTGCGGTGGATTTCCTTGTGGCTCTGCAGAGTTCTGTACCTTTAAGAGCTTTCTAAGTCCTGGATAGGATGTGATCAAAGTTTATTTATTTATTACCTTTATTGTCAGAGTACAACGTGTACAATGAGATTTGCTGAGGCTCCCTTCGTGCACCCCCCCCCCAAAACACATCTCACAGTGAGGACAGAAGTCTCTAACCCAGTCCTAATCTTACTACACTATGTGATCTTGTTGCACAAAGTGCCGGCTCCACAAGTCTATCATACTAAGTTGACTACAAATTTTCCCACTAATGCTATGGAGCAGTCTTCAGCACATCTTCCAAACTGGGGTAAGTTCTGTTATTTAATGAAAATGACTAGTTATGAAAGAAAAAAAAGAGGAGTTAGGAGACAGAGGCTGGCTAAAACCTTATGTGGGTGACAAAAAAAATGCTCATTCTGTATTTCCCCTTAAACTCATGTGTGAATAGTGAGAATTCCTTATGCTGTTCTAAATATAGCAGTTGTAGAAGCTATGCTATAATTTAGTCATATTTGTTTAACTCTTAGCCAAACAGTTCACATAAACACATATTTTGAACATTGAGACATGCAAAATAACTGTTCAAAAAAAAAAACAGCCATTACATCTGTACAGTTTTTGGTATTCGCTGACCATGGTATGCAAGTAATGGCTAAAATGGAAACAATGACTCGTTAATTCATAACTTTGCTTTCCAAACATTTCATTCAGAACTATTTCACTGAAAGTTAATTTAAAGAAATCCAGAAGCTTCTAAAGCTGTAAGAATTATCTCTGTTGAGTAATTACTTATTACTTAAATTACTTAATTACTTAAAACTCATGAGTTTTGTGTTGTGCTTATTTAAAGCTGAAAAGTTTTCAGTGAGAAATAGTTTAGCTGAAATAAATAAATCTAAATATGTCCTACAATTAATCACCTGAGTTCCTGATACTTACCTCATTTATCAGAGTGCTTTAGAATGTGTTGAAACTTTCTATATTGCTGCAGATATTGCTGCTAATTCATTGACCTTGTTTCCTGCTATACACCTTTCCTTTCCTTTGATGCTCCTCAGTTCTGGTCTGAAAAGGCCACTTGGAAGTTTCCTCATGAGTACTTCATTTTTCTGTATTTAATCCAAGCGCAGGACCTCAGGGACAAAGCAAATTACCGAAGAGTTTACACAATAAAAGGCACTCCCAAGTGGATTATTATGATACGGTATTTCTGATTGCAGTTTTCAGCTTGTTTGTTGTGACTACAGTTATCTCCTTAACCTGGTCATAGTGCTGTATGTATTGCCAAGTGCTGTGGGGGAGGGGGGGAGTCACCAAGGTGTAAGCATCCTATATTATTTTTTTCTAAGATGTTGCCTTAAATAGTTCATCTTCACTCAGACTTGTGAGATATTCAAATTTATCTGTTTCCAGCTGATAAGAGCTTTAATATCGGCTTCATGCTCTGCCAACTATTGTACTAGAAGTCTATGGAGATTCTCAGGACATAGTTGTCCCAAAGTGCTTTTTTCAAGAGGCAACTTTTTCTTTGAAGACATTAAATCCTTCCATTCCCCACCATCCAGTCAGAGCTGAAGAAGCTTCTTGGATGAGACGTGAAATGCCTTTGAAGAAAAACCAGAAAGTCCAGTTGCCTCCTGAAAAAAAGCATCCTGAGATTGTATTAGAAGGCAGGTAGAACTAAAATACTCTGTGCTGCCCAATTACGGCCTTGTGCACAAACACAATACGATCTATTGTGTTCATCTTTTATTATATTTCAGGCAGCTCATTTCATTTGTTTTCACACAGAAAAATATCCTGGACACGTAGCTCCTTATTACATGCAAGCTCTCCTTTCAGATCATTCAGATGGCACTTCCTTGCATGTTGATGAATTCTGCCATATTAAAATTAGATGCAGGCTGACATCTTTCAAAAAAAATAAAATCATTTTCCAGACTCCTGCCATTTAGCTTTGATTGGGAACAACGTTCGACATAGTTTTAAACAATAGCATTATTTTATTCAGTCTTTCGGCCATTCTCATCTGTTTCTGGGTCCATATAGTTTACTATGAACAATAGTAAACTATATCCATACATGACAAATACTTTGAAATTGATATTTTCTGTATGGTGCTGTTGATAGATCACTTTAGTTTTGCTTGGGTTTTGTTCTTGTTTTTATGTTAGTCC